CCTGCATAGACCCAGCGCGGTCACGGCCAATGGGCGGAGCTTAGTTGGGCCCGGCGCAACGTGATTGGCCAGCGCTCCCATCCAATCCGCTGCGGTAGCGAACGAGCCTCTATCCGGGTGCAAAATCTAATTAGCATTACGAGCCAATGACAAGTGCTCTAAATATTTACATTTTGTTAAGAGACCATATTGATGAAAATCGGCGCTTGAGCTGAAATGTCTAATGTCAAAATTTCAAGCCAATTAGACAAAAACTGAAGAAATTATCGCCGAAAAACAGGGTCTCACGGGGTCTGAAATACATAGCAGGTGAGTCGTCTGGGCGGAGGCGCCGCTCTCCAGCATCCTCAGGGCGGCCTGGGAGTCGGTGCAGATGACTATTGGGTTGTCTGCGATGTCGGCGTCGGCGTCTCGGATGGCGTTCAGGGCCGCCTTCAGGGCACACAGCTCTGCCCGCGTGCTGGAGCAGAGCTGGCTCGCTGGGACTCGGACCTCCCGAGTCTCTCCCGACGGGAGGGTGACTGTGGCACCGCCCCCGCCCTGGGAGACGCCTCCCTCCACCGAGCCGTCCGACCATATCCAGGTGGCCCGGGGCGGCAGATGTTCCAGTGTGGCCTCTGCCGCTCTCCTCCGTATGTGCGCAGGGGCCGCTCTCTGGCCGCCGGGGCCGACGTCCAGGCAGAAAGTCACAGCTTCTCCATGGTGGTCCCACAGTGGGATAGTCTTTGTAGGGCGTCCTTCCACTTTGACGTCGGCCGCGCCTGTCCAAGCCAGGGCGCGGTGGCCGACCTCACACCATCCGGTGGTCGTCCTCAGGCGGGGCGCGACGTGCATCTCTCCGACGGCGCGGAGCGGGTCGTCGCCGGGCAGCGAGGCGGCCAGCGCTGGGCATCGCACTCGCGCCGGCGTGATGCCGGCCTCGGCCATCAGCGGCGCGGTCGGGGTCGAGGCCGTGCAGCCAGTGACCGCACGAGCCGCCGCTCGCAGCTCGCGTTCGATCAGCTCGACGTGAGCTTCAGACGCCGCCGGGAGCCACGGCGCTGCCGCGTGCTCCAGGGCGCCCCGAACGTATCCGTTGGCAACGGTCCGTAGTTGCGCCTCCTGGTCCCTGGAGGCCCCAGCTGCGACCAGTCAGTTTCCTCAGCTGGGCCGTTCTGGGTTTCACTTTCCTGCGCAGGTTCCTGCAATGTTCCCCGAAGTGGAGGAGTCTGTCAAAAGTGACTCCTAGGAGTCTCAGGTGCGGGGATCCTTTGACCGATGTTCCGGCCACCTTGATCTGGAAGTCCTTGTCGTCATGGGACCACTGGGAGAGGACCAGGGCCTGGGTCTTCTCCCCGGCGATCACCATCTTCCACATGTTGGCCCACCTGACCATCGGGTCAGCTTCGAGCTGGGCTCGTTCTCTTGCCGTCTCCATCCGGCAGCCACCGCTCAGCGTGGCGGTATCGTCAGCGTACGTGCATGAATACGCTGGTACCCGGGACGCTCCTCAGGTCGCTCACCAGGTCGGCCGACCACAGGGTGTACACTGTACATGATGGCGTGGATCTAGTATGGCGATCGATTGACACTCCGAGGTTCTTGACTACCTTGGCATCAGGCACTACCGTCCCACAGAAACTGAGCGTGACCGGCGGCAGCCCACGAAGCATCGCCTGTGTTCCCATCACGAGCATCTGTGTCTTTTTAGCATTCAGCCTCATCCCATTTTGACAAAACCAACTATACACATCAGCCAGTGCACCCTCCATTTGCGAGACAAGCTGCTGCATCTGACCCTTCTTCCCCGTTACCATCAGTTGCGTATCGTCCGCATATTGGACGACAGTCACATTATCTGACACGCACAAGCTCAGATCGTTTGCAAAAAGCATGTAGAGGATACAGCTCAAGGCACCGCCCTGATACACACCAATGACGTTGTCTCTGACGTCAGATAGCACTGCCGAACCATCCGCTCGCTGCATCCGAACCTGCTGAGTGTGATCTGCCAAGTAGCTGCTAAACCAGTCTGTATCTATTCCGTAAAGGGCGAGCTTTTCTAACAATTTGTCGTGAGGAACAACATCGAAACATTTTGATAGATCAAAGAGCACCAAGAGGCAAATTTGACCGTTTTCCCCTCCCTTCTTCCCCCACAATGGCCGGTGACCTCACTCCCCTCGGGATTTGGACTCGCCCTACCCCGACCGTAGCGCCACGTGGTGGCTCTGGAGATCTTAAATAGACCCACTGTACAGGGTCGGTGCCAAGACCGAACCCTGAGGGAGGCCCGCTCTGAAGGGGCGCTCCTCGCTGAGGCAGCCGTTCACTTCGACCCTGGCGCGTCGGTCACGGAGGAACTGGAAGATCCAGTTTACCATGCATAGTGGGAGCTGGAGACGAAGCAGTTTAAGTTGTAGCATGCGGTGGTCGATCTTGTCATAGGCTCTGCTGAAGTCATACGCTACCAGCGCGAACTTCTCCGCCGTCTTCCCCTCGGTAGGGCGACCGGCGGGGCGGGGTCGGTTCCAGCCGTCCTGTACGGTCTGCACAAGGCAGCCGAGGTTTTCCTCCGATCTTCCGCGCCGGAAGCCCACCTGTTCGGCAAGCATCAGGTTCCTCGCTTCGGCGATCTGGCTGAGTCGAGCGCCGACCATCCGTTCTGCCAGTTTTGCCACGTGGCTGGTGAGGGCTATTGGGCGGTATGACGTCACGGATTGTGGGTTCTTGCCGGTCTTCAGGATCGGCATGATGGTGGCCCTCCGCCACGCGCTTGGTGTGGTGGCGTCTGCCCAGGTCTGATTGATCAGGCGCAGCAGTACGGACTTGGCTGTGGGGCCGAGATGCCGCAGGTGCTCAGTGCACACCTGGTCCGGGCCGGGCGCTTTCCTGGACTTCAGCACCCGGATCTGGGCTTCCATCTCATTCATGCTGAAGGGGGCGCACGCCTCTTCTTTAGTGTCGAGACATGTGCAGCCGTTGTCCCTCAGGGATGCCAGTTCCTTCTTCACGGGCCGGTCTCGTTTCGGGCAGCGGACCTGCTTGCTTACCGCTGCGTATGTCCCGACGAAGGCGTTGGCTTTCGCGCGGTCCTCTATGGCTAATTTGCCACAGTCCCCGCTGATGGCTTGTCCCGGTCGGGACTCAGGTACGGCGCCCTCCATCCTCCGAAGAATCTTGGAGACGCGCCCGATGCACGTGGGCCGGTTTAGCTCCTTAGAGACGAAGTCTCTGAAGGTCCTGGTTCTGGCCGACTCTTCTGCTGCGGCGGCCGCCCTCTTTGCAGCTTTCCACCTCTCTCTTGTTGCAGAACAGGGATTAGAAGTAATCTCTGCCCGTGCTGCTCGCCTTGCCGAGATCGCATCGATCAGTTCAGGATTGCAGGCCCAGGGCTTCGGGTCGGCGCGAGCGCCGCGGGGGTTGGCCCGTGTGCTCTCTGACGTGATGATGGTTGCCACTCTCCCGGCGAAGATGAGTGTAGGTAGATCAGGAGGCAGGGCAGAGAAGGCCGCTCGCAGCTGCTGGTGAACTGTATCCAGTGCGCCTTCTGCCAGGACCATCTGGTCTTTCTGATGCGGCGAGGGCGGGCGCCGCTCGTCGCGGTCTGGACCACCTTGGGGAGGTGATCACTGCCGAGATCTGTGCCGATGGTCCAGGTGTTCCGCAGCGCCAGGTTCTGGTGGCAGAGTGCAACGTCTGGGGCAGTCAGTGGCCCGGTCCCGTAGCCGGCGCGGGTGGGCTCTCCGTTGTTGAGGGCTGTCCAACGTGAGCGTTCTAGCCAGCCCGCGATCTTCTCACCGGTATCGTCGGGTTCCAGGCACGCCGCGTCCCAGTCCGGGTGATGGCCGTTCACATCCCCCAGGATGAAGGTGTCCGGCGAAGACGGGAAGCCGTCCAAGGAGAATCTGTCGACTCTCTCGTCAATCCCCGATGATCTGATTGGGGGGCGGTAGATGCAATAAATAGTAACAGAACAAGGTCTTTGGTTGGTGTGAGGTCTGGTGGGCGACGGACTGGCCAATACCCGAACGCCGCACCATTCGGTGGTGTCGTCCTGCGGGTGAAGAGGGGAGTCCTCGATGGTCTGATAGTTGAGGCCGTCTCGGACGAAGATCGCCACACCTCCCCCTTGGCCGGCCCTCCGTCTCCCCTTCCGCGCGCCCTCCTGACGAGCGTGGCCGTCTGGTAGCCCGGGATGGTGATGGGCTGGCCGGCAGCCGGCTGGACCTCCTGAACAGCGGCAACGTCCGTCTTGGTGGCAGAGAGCCAGCGGTGGAACTCATCCCTCTTGGGGCGTAGAGTCCTTCCGCGTTCCAACTCGCGATTAGAAGTCGGCTTCTGTTACGACGGTTCAGACGGTACCGTCTGTTCTTGGCCCGCCTGCTGCTGCGGCCTCCCCATGCTCCTCGCGCGCCGCGCCCGGTCGAGCCCCCGCCGTCGGCGCTCATGGCGGGGGACGCTGGGTTCACTTAGTTAGGCGGACCGGCCGCGCGCGCGCGGCCGGTCCGCAGCGTGTCGTGCCGAGTGGTTAAGTCGGTCGGGTGTCGAGTCGGTAGGCTGGGGCAGCTGAAGACGACGACCGGTGGCGCGTCGGCCACCGGCATCCGCCCTGGAGGGGCGGTTGTCCCCCGTTTGGCTGGCTCGGGCGCTGTCCACGCACCGAGTCGGGGCGAGGCCCCACAGCGTCCACCGCTTGAAGGCGGGGGGACTCAAGACGGCTGCTCAGTGGGTCGCCTCTGGGGTCTGTGTTCTGTGCCTGTGTACGTGGCCAGTGCTGCTCAGCGGATCGCCTGTGGGGTCTGTGCTCAGTGTTTTCTGTGTCCCACAGGTGGCCAATGTGCCCCAGCGGGTCGCCTCTGGGGTCTGTGGCCTGTGCTCTGTGCCTGTGTACGTGGCCAATGTGCCCCAGCGGGTCGCCTGTGGGGTCTGTGGCCTGTGCTCTGTGCCTGTGTACGTGGCCAGTGTGCCCCAGCGGGTCGCCTGTGGGGTCTGTGCTCAGTGTTTTCTGTGTCCCACAGGTGGCCAATGTACCTCAGCGGATCGCCTCCCGCCAGCCGACAGGCGCTCGCCGCCGCTCCCGCTCCCAGGGCCGCTGTGAGTACGCCCGCCGCCGTGCCAGGCGCGTCCTCCGTCTTGAGCGGGTCGCCTTGTGTCGTCCTCGACCGTTTGTTACATCCGGGGCATTCCACGTCAAATCGAACAAAAATCGGCTGTTTTGCACCTTACCATCAGCGATTTCATTATAAATTTGTGAGCGAGTTCTTGTGTGGCCCCGGACATTACATTGATGTTTTTTGCACATTCTGACCACAGGTCTTCTAAATATAGGGTATCAAATTTTTACAAAATGTTGCATCTTTATATTTTTAAACGACCATAACTTTGGTTGTACTTGTTTGATTTGAATGAAATAAACCTTACTGTTTAGGTAATTTCTTAAGCATTTGTTTAGAATTGCACCTACTTAAATATATGACCTTGAAATTTGCTTAACTCTGTTCTTAAGCACAAATATTGAAATAGCAAAAAACACGTCACCTTCGATTTGGCTCATTTTCATATATTTTATTGCCTACCATATTCTTGACAACCTGTGAAAAAATTAGAGTGGGCCATTCATAAGTTTTGAAGAAAATTGCACATATGCAAACGTATGTTAGCACGCGCAGTGGAGGGGGAAGAGCGAATTTCGCCCACCCCTCCTGTTTTTCGCCAATATCTCATAAGATTAATGCGAAATTAATTATGGCTACCTGTCAAGAATTGAATTGGACATCTCATCGTGCAAGCAATAAGAAAATCGGTTCACAACTGTTCTAGTAATAGCGGTGTAAAGTGAACATCCTGTCGCCGCAGTGACGCGGCGACTCGGCAGCCGGCGCCGACCGCTACGCGCCGCCTGAATTGTAGACTGTGCCGGGACGGAACGGAACGGTTCCGTCTTTACATCGCGCTCCCTACCGCTGATTACGTTCGATTCGCGTCAAACTTTGTGAGAAGACTAAGAAATGTACAGGCAATCTTATGGTGAAAGAATTTTGAAAATCGGTTGGTAAACAATTGAAATATGAACGTGTAAACACAAAATTGTGATTGCTGCGTTTCCCGCATCGGCCGAGCCCGCCTCAGCCGGCGACATGTTACTCTTAGCAGGCCTCTAACTGCCATATTTATTATTGGATTAACTAGAAATTCCCCATACATACTTTAAAAAATGTATGTTCTTTCGTATAGTGAAGATCAAAAGACGTGAAGATATCGTTGCGTGATAATGTTTTCGTTGAATTTACTTCATGATGCATTTCCACATGGCTCAAAATTCACCGCAAAATACCGTTTGCCTGAGACACTTTTACTATGGAACGTGAATGCTTGACTACGATGACTATGCATTTCCATTCTCGCAGAGTTTGGGATATCACTAATCAGCAATCATTCATTTCAGAAAGTGTACACAAGCAAGCATGTCTTGACTCTGTCTTTCAAGGTCACGCGCGGTTGCGTGATGTTGATGCATGAAAACGGCGTTTGCCGCGAAAGTTATGAATGGCCCACTCCAATTTTTTCACAGATGGATAAGAACATTGTGACGGACATAATATGTAAAAATTACACAAATCGAAGGTGACGTGTTTTTTGCTATTTAAATTTTTCTGTTTCAATTCAAGGTCAAATGCATTTCAAGGTCACTTCAATTTAATTTTATAATTAAAAATCAAAGTCTTATCAATTGCCTATAAGACCCTGTTAATATCATTTTGATACCAGAAAAGGAACCAGAGTTATAGCCATTTAAAAAATTGATGTGTGGCATTTTTCGCTATATTCGATGACCTATATCTCAGCGATACGTTATCAAATTTCGAAAATATTATACGTAACTCAGTTTTGAACCATGCCCAGTCTGCCTACAAATTTTCAGAAAAATCGAAGGGGATGACGGATTTCGGTGTTTGATTTGACGTGGAATGCCCCATCCATCATTGGTTCGGTCGGCGACGTGCTTACATACTAGGGTTAACTGTTAAATGATTTAAGTACATTTAGCAATGATAAATTTTTGCGCTTGCACGCAATTTTTTGGTGTCATCACATACTCGTACACCGAATACCGATATTTTTTCTTTCTTACCAATGTTGAGGACCAGATGTTTTTAGTTTCCTAACGCTCTGAGGTATACTGGTTTTCCAAGAGAACACCTAAACATGTCGCGCACCATAGAAACGAGCCGGGCAATGGCCAAAATCGCGCGCCAGCGCAAATTATCAGTTAAAGTTGGCGTCGCCGGTGCCTGCGTGGTGTAATGAGCCTGAATTAACCCGCGCCCCAGTGGCGGTCTCAGCCAACTTCGCCCTAGTGGGGGGGGGGGGGGCATATGTTACCACCCACCTCTAACTCAAAAACGAAGAGGGCTAGAAAAACGCGGTAAAAAGCAGTCGATAGCTCTCAATGCGTACGTTTGAAAGTATTTCGGTCATTTTTCATCTTAGAGCAATATTGGGGGTCACTAGAGGTCATCAGAGGTCAAAATTTGCCAAATGTCATAATATTTTTCAGAAAACATACATTTATCTCAGGAATTATGATAGCTAGAAAAACGCATGGAAAAGCAATCGATAGCTTTTGAACTGTTCTTGCGATAAGGTAATACTCAAAATTGACCTCAGGTCAACAGTTTAGCCTCCAGAGGGCAAAAACCTCAAAAATAGCTGTTTTTACGAAAAGTGTTTTTCGACAGTAACTTTTGACTTAAAAAAGCCACGACATTTCTGATGCCAGAATCGTGTTCCTCTCGCCGAGACGCGTCGAATGAACTATAATTTGACCTTGAAAGTTCAACTTCAAAATTTGACCTCAGGTCAAGCTCATGACCTGACCGGAAAAGGTCATGTTGCATATCAGTCGATGCGTTTCAACAAGACAAACACAATAAGGCCATCCCAGCGTTCTATCTCTTTCCAATCGAGAGTTATTGGCAAAAATCTGTTTGTAGCCTCAAATGACCTCGGATGACCTTTCTAGAGGCTATCAGCAAAAATGACACCTTGGTCATCACGGGTGGTCCAAATCATTGTGATTCTGAAATATTTGGACTGTTCCTATGAGTACACACGGATCTAGAGGCATTTTCATTTTTCTCCATTGACTTGTAATGGAAAGGTCACGCCACTGACCTGACCTTAGGTCACGGATATAAAAAATCCGAGATATACAAATTGTAGGCGCTCATAACTTCATGCAATTCACCAAGTTTGAAACCTTTCTGACAAACACTGCAGGCTGGACATGATGGCAAACTTTTTTAGGCTTGGTCAGTTAACTTGACCTGGTGACCTGACCTGACATGACCTGAGGTCAAAAATTTCACACATTGTCCAAAATTGATGTACCAAAAGCTACCCCAAGCGGCGCGGCGCTACGCGCCGCGGTTTGTTATTCACACGCAAAAAACGCGACAGGGTGGTAACATATCCCCCCCCCACTGCACAGTGGGGATTTTTCCGATCTAGCACGTCTTTATTCGTAGAGGGCAAACCATAGGCAGTATTGTAGCCAAATTGTGCACAGATGTTGGCTGGTGTGTTCTGGTGAGAATGTTACCTGCAAATGTGCATAATTAACCCTCGCATGTGTGCGGCGTTTGCCAGCTTCTAATGTGTGTGTGTGGGGGGGGGGGGTCGGTTGGACCCCCCCTTGCCGTTTGGCCCCTGATCGAGCTAGAGCTTCGCGGAAAAAACGAGCGTGTTGCCCGTGACGAGAGGAAGCCGATGATACCCAATTTTAATGTCCTAGGTCATTGGTTGACCTTCCAGGTCAGGTCAATGACCCAAAGTCGGGAAAATCGGGACCTGTTAGAAAGTCGTAAAGTGTGGCTGCTAAGGGGTTTTTCGGGGTGCTGATCACGAATATCGTGTTAGTTTTGATCACAGATGATGTCTTGAAGCATTTAGACCAGGTCGGGTCAGGTCAGGTCAGGTCAACCAGTAGGCGTCGTGACGGGTATTCGTAGTACGTGTCAACCGCCTCTGACAGCTTCGTAACATGTTACGAAGTCACCAAAACTACTTCGTAAATGTTCAAATGGTTGCTAAATTCGAATTCAGCTCCAAAAACTAGCCTAGAAACATGTAAAACTCGAAAAAGTGACCCGAGGTCACCCGAGGTCACCAAAGGTCAATGACCTGACCTGACCTTCAGGTGACCTTGACACACACGGGAGTAACATCAAATCACATGTTTGAACGTTTGAAACCACGAAAAGCTTGCAAACACGCGGCTAGTGCGAGCCGACATACGCGAAATCGCGATTCCGGCCAAACATGGTCTCGGAAAAGAGGTCACAGGTCAAAGGTCATTTGGGTCAGGGTCATGAAATTTTCAGGGTAGGTGTAAAATTGATCAATGCGAGGGTACTGAAAATTTCGTCGCGATCGGCCGCTTTTTACGCGAGTTATTCGCGAAAAACCATGGGGGGGGGGGGTCCATCCGACCCTCCCCCTACACATGCGAGGGTTAACATAGTATAGGGGGTTTAATTGGACCCCCGGCTCAGCCGTTTGGCCCCTGATCGAGCTAGAGCTTCGCGGAAAAATCAAGCGTGCTGCCTATGACGAGATGAGGCCGAATATATCCAGTTTCAAAGTCAAAGGTCATTAGTTGACTTTCCAAGTCAGTTTAATGACCCAACTAAAGTTGGGAAATCAAGACCTCTTCAAACTTCGTAAAGTTAGGGTGTTACGTGGTATTTTGGGGTGCTGATCACGAATTTCATGTTAGTTTTGATCACAGACGATGTCTTAATGTATTTAGGCCAGGTCGGGTCAGATCAGGTCAGATCAACCAGTAGGCGTCCTGCCGGCCATCCATATAGTAGGTGTCACCTACTACTGATAGCTTCGTAACATGGTACGAATGCACCAAAACTACTTCGTAAATGTTCAAATGGTTGCTAAATTCGAAATCAGCACCAAAAACTACCCTAGAAACAAATAAAACTCGAAAAAGTGAACCAAGGTCATCAAAGGTCAATGACCTTGACTTTATCTTCACGTGACCTTGACACCCACCATAATATATGGTATCAACATCATTTCACATATTTGAACGTTTAAAACCACAAAAAGATTGGAAACCGTGAATAATGTGAGCTGGCATACGCCGAATCGCGATTCCGGCCAAACATGTCTCGAAAAATATGCCACAGGTCAAAGGTCAGTTGGGTCAGAGTCATGAAATTTTTAGGTTAGATGTAAAATTGATGATCTCGAGGGCACCGAAAGTTTTGACGCGATCGGCCGCTTTTTGCGCGAGTAATTTGCGCCAAACCATGGGGTTTTATCCGACCCCTTCCCCCTCCCCCTCCCCACAAGTGCGAGGGTAAATAAGATTACGGTATGTATAATATACGCTTGTCATCCTATTCCTAATGAATGTGTCTCAGAAAATATGCATCATATTAATCACGAAGTAAAATTATTCGCCTATATCCGGAACATACCTATATCGCGCTGTTTGCCCTACCGCTACTAGAGTGGGGTATTAAGATACTCTAATGTGAATATTCCGTGTTCAGGCAAGTTCCGGCAGCCAAACTAGGCGTTGTCTTGTGCAGGAGAAGGTGGCGAATTCGATAGGATATGTTTCGGAGTGGAAAAGTGTGGAAAACATTGTTGATTTCCTACATTTATTTAGAATACCATTCCTTCAATATGGTGTCTGTAAGAGTTTTTGTAAATGGCATTTTTGTGACCTTTAGTAAAGTTGTGGCATACTTTCTGTTTGCCATTCCATTCCTAATAAAGGTGCCTTTCAGAAGGTATGCAACTTTAAGACCTCGCAAGAATAAAACCAACAGGACAGGACAATGAAATTGAGGTATACTTTCGGGCCTTACTGAGCCCATTGAGTAATCACGCATGAGTATGAACTTTGGGCGCATTTTTCCTAGTCTTGCTGTGGACATACAGATAAAACAATGCCATATATGAAAAATTCAGACATTTCTTAGCCCCACTGACGCAAAAAATAAACAAAAATCCAAAAAAGATTTTTCGAATTAAGACGCGCTAGATCGGAAAAATCCCCACTGTGCACTGGGGCGAAGGTTATGGGGCCGTACCTACCCGTCTCTTACCTCGGTATCCGGGAGGATTTTGGCGTACTGCGGCCTCGACCTCCGCCAGCTCCTGTCTCCTATTGCGTGTGTTCCAGCTCTCCCTAGCTTAAAGACGCCTAAGGATTTGACGGAAGGAGACAAAGGAAAAATAAGAAAGAAAACAAAAAATAAAAAAACGAAAAACATGAGCGGCCGCCGTGTGGCGTGCCACTCGCGCACTGGGGGCGCCCGGCGGCCGGCGCAGTGTCCTCGCCGGGCCGGGCGGGCTGTGTTTGCTTACCCGGCCGCTGGCGCTTATCTAGCCTCCAATTGGCGCCCGCGCCCTCTGTGGCTGGCTCCCTCATATGCTGGGCACCTCCAGGAAACGGGGGGCCGGCTGCACCTCTGACGCCATGCGTTAACGTATTTTGCACGGAGCTGACGCGAAAAGACCAATCTCAGTAGCTCAGTGCGTCATATCTCATGAGCTCATATCTCATAGCTCATTGTCATATCGCGTGTGCCTAAGGCTGTTCTTTACACTATGTGCCTAAGCTCCTATCGCTTAAGATCAGCTTCCCCACCTGGTCTCGCGCTTGCGCCGTGTGCACGCGCTTTAGGTACCCCCGGACGCTTCCTGTCCGCGAGGTCGGCGGCCCCTTTCTGGAATCGTTGCCACCACGGACATATTGTCTGCGGGGAGGCTGCAGACGCTTCGCTTCCATCATACACTTTCAAAATAAATGTCTTGTTCTCGGCAGGCCTTTTTCCTACCACAAACTGAGCTATCTTGATATTTGATACCCTAGGAGTGACTACCAACCCACCCATGTCGTGGCTAGGATCTGAGGTTGTTTTGACACGCTTCCTTCCAGCCCAAACATACCTACAAGTGTGTGTCAAAGATGCCACCGACTGGTCACCCTTTTCGATACATCTTGTGATACACCTTTGCCGGTTCGTAGTTCTGTGCCTGGCGACGCTAGCTCGTCAGGTTACTTCAGTTGACCTCTCCTCGAGACTTAAGCCAGTGCTCGCGCTAGCCCTGCTCATTCACATCACATTAGACTGATCATTTGTTTTAGAACTATCAGCCATTGATGTGCATGAGTGGTTGTTGTCTGCGACCTACCACTCCACTGCTCCGTGTCTGCTCTGCCGCCGTCCTAACGCTGACCGGTCGTGTGCCCCGTCTCTCCCCCCCCCGTGCCGGGCAGTGGGGAGCAGCTCGCTGGACCGCTCTGCGGGCCGCGCGGTGCGGGACCCGGCGCTCCTGGAGGCGCCGTCCGACCAGCAGTCAGCCGTGAGTCCAGCGGAGGCGGCGGCGGCAGGCGCACAGATACCGCCACCGAGCGAGTCCCGGCTCACAGGGGGAGAGTGGGGGGGGGGGGGGGGGTCTCATTGAGCCGGGGTACTCGGCAGGAGTCGTGTGCCCGCCGGCCGGGTGCCGGGTGGTGGGGTGCTGCGGTGCCGGGCCCAGTACTGCTCTCGGCCCGCTCGCCGCTGACGGGCTGATCACTGACCCATTCCAGGAGGGCGCGCCGGGCCGGCCCGGAGACCAGGCCGTCTTCCAGTGGAGTGCCGTCTACGCAGACGCCGGCAGCAAGTGAGTGGGACTGCGCCGGGCCGGGCTGTGGGGGTGGAGGGGGAGCGCTGTGGCGGAGGGCTGCTCTGGTGAAGGGGTGCTGGGTGCGCTGACGAGCTGTCTCGGGAGGACCGCTCCGCCGGGGAGACCTCTGAGGGGCGCGGTGGCGCGGTGCTGGACCGGCCGGCCATTATTGGGGAGCCATGCTCTCCGGATGGCTTGGCTCGGCTCGTCTGCCGCCGGCCACAGATGTGTGGGGGCTGTATGGTCAATGGGCAGCGTCAGGGGTCCCCGGCCGGCTCGCTGGTACTGCTCAATAGTCCAGAGCGAGCCGAACCCAAACTCTTATTATAATATTTATTTTTAACTATGAAAGGGATTATACCTTCATTTAAATGAAACGCGTCGAATTTTCGTCTTAAATATGACATGAAATGGTTCAATTTACCAAGTCTCTTTTTCTCTATTCGTCGCAAAACTGCATCAGTTTTTTTTAGCATTTGTGGCGGGTCGGGGTAAGCCACGTCAGGTCAGCCACCAGGCGTGCGGACGGTCATTCTCTGATGATATTTAGTATTGACCACCACTGCACCGTAGGCACTTTTGCTATCCTAGCACGAATTTAGTGGCAAGTTATTACGAGCGAGCGAGCGCAGCGAGCGAAGCGAGTCTTTTCAATACAACTGAAAAATCTCAGTATGAGCGGCCCGGCCCGGCCCGGCCTGCAACGCTTTTGAGAGGCTTATATCTCAGCAACCGCTGGACCGATTGGCCTGCGGTCTTTTTTGCTGGGTAGCCCCATCCCTTCTACCCCGTAATTGACTACTTTTGATACATCTCAGTGACCGTCGTGGCACGTGCCACGTGAAGTCAAGGGTGTACAAGCTGTTTTGCAAAAGTAGTGATTTTGATAGGCTCATATCTCAGCAGCCGCTTAGGCGATTGTCTTGCGGTAATTTTTGTAGGGTAGCTGCATTCCTTCTACCAAAGGTCGGATAAAGAGATGGCAAAATGTGGACCCGAGGACCCGGTCCAAAGAACCAGTCTGGACCCATATGGGTCCAGACCGGTTCCTGGAAATTTTCTGACGGGTCCAACCGGGTTCTTCTATAAACCATACACCTTGCACACTACACATGATTGCAAAATATGAAGTTATAGATGGAAAGAAAGCATTTGCTCATGTTGTATGTTTCTTTGCACACTGTAGCTCATGTGTATTCCCGGTGAGAAAAGGCTGTCTTACATGATGCCACTAATGATACCTTCAAATAGTTGGGGCATTCCACGATAGATCGTACCAGGCCCGTCACCCTCATCTCTCAGATTTTAATGAAAATCCGTTCTAGGGGTAATCATAGGCCCCAAAGACGCCTGGCAAAATATCGGACTTCTCAGATCAATACTTTTTGAGTTATATTGCATTACATTTTTTTAACTTCGGTTTGTAACGGTGAGTTTGATGGCCTATAACTCAAGAACGGGTTAAGCTACCAACAAACAGTAAACAACACTAAGCTTGCGATGAATCAAAAATTAATATTACCATTTGAAAAATCCAAAGAAAAATTTTCATTGTTGAGCAAAAACCTTAATCTTTTTTCATTTGCCTCTAATGACCTTTGGGACCAAAATTTTTCAATTTTTTATTTTTTCAAAATAAACTTCATGTCATTGCAAATCGACATGCAAAAAATTAGAAAGGTGTTCTTTCTATAAAATCCTCATTTTCCCGCAAACAAAATGGGTTTCGGAGGGGTTGATACGACCCCAGCACGCCGTTTCGCTTCTAATAGAGCTAGAGCCTCGCGGAAAAAACGAGCGTGTGTGCCGCAACAAGTCGCAGCGATTGGTACCCGATTTTAAGGTCTCAATTTAACCGGTAGCGTCTGAGGTCAGGTCAAGTGACTGAATGATTATTTGAATTGGACAAATTAATTCGTATATGATGTAAGATAAAAACACCAAAACCACCCAACGTTTCTTGTTATTCACTTTTTCAAGGGTGATATGACACATTTTACCTATCGAGTCAAGTACGTTTTTTCGGTTTCGTTCGAATATAGCGCGGGCACTTTTTCACAAATTTCCTCTGTCTTGCATGACATATTCACACATACATACACACATACTACAAATTAACGTCTTTCCTAGCCAACAGAGCAGACACTGAAGCTAGTCTGAAGAATCCACTCGAAGTGTTCAAAACATCACCTTTCGCAATAAACGCTGCTTCTATAATTCTCCGTTGGGTTTTAGAAAAGTTTTGATCTACATGTGTAGCCCGCGTCCAATCAGGTAAATGCCCTTCTTTCTCAGCGTGAATAACAAATGCATTAGAAAGTCTGTGATTACGTAAATCCCCCCTGTGTTCACGGACCCGTGTTTTGAGACCTCTACCAGTTTCCCCGTTGACTCGATAGGTAAAATGTGTCATATCACCCTTGAAAAAGTGAATAACACGAAACGTTGGGTGGTTTTGGTGTTTTTATCTTACATCAAGTGACTGAAGTTACGGAGTCGGTTTTTAGTAAATAACTTCGCAAAAAATTGCCGCAGAGCCGCGATTTTGGTATCATTGTGTTCGCCTAGCTCAGGTGCATCGAATGGTATACTTCTTGCTAGGGTGAGGTCAACTTAAGTAGTTGACCTCGGATCAAGGTCAGGTCAGAGCCCCTCAGGTCACGACGCTGGGCAAAGGGTATCATATGGCATATCATTCGATTCGGAAGGTCTTCCCGAGTCCATTGGTGGCTTTCCCGACTCTCTAGCTCTATTTGATCGGGAGTTATTGACGAAAAACCCGTACGACCTAGTGACGTCATAAATGACGTCACGCAAGGTTACCAATGCAAAAGAAAAGCGTTGGACTATGTGCAAGAAGTGCATGAAATCACGATACCATGGACGTGGGATAGTTTTAGATCATTCTCGTCGCCAAAATAACAGTTTTTATATTTCCCCACTGACTTATAACAGTGATGTCACGTGACCGACCTGACCTGGCGTAACCTTAAAAATTCCCAGACATACAAGTTGTGAGACCTCTGGAGGACACCATGTATGCGTCCTGTAACTTTCATCTCGGACAGATATGGTGTTGGCGTCCAAAACAATGTCAGAACCAAACAGCCTTTTTCACCCCCGCCCTTATAGGAAAGAGGGTTAGATGAACCCTCTTTTCACTTTTTTCAGATGACTCAGACTTCAATTGAAATTTCAGTAACCCGTGATGTCACTAGGCAGCTTTACCACGCCATTTGTAAGCTCCCCTCCCGAAATCACTATTCGAAACCGTTATCGTGACGTAAAATAAATACATTTATAGAAAGAACACCTCCCTAATTTTTTGCATATTTGTTAACAATGATCCAAATATTTTTTTTAAAGAAATAAAAATTCAAAAATAAAAATTGGTCCCAAAGTCCAAAACATACAAATGAAAGAAAACTCGATATGTCATATATCAAAAATAGTGTATTTTTCGAAATTTCAAAAATACATATTAATTTCTGTTTCATTGCAAGTTCAATGTTATATAACATTTGGCATTTGAATAATCCGTCTTAGAGTTACAGCCCGCCAAACTTAGCGCTGCAAAGCAAGATCCAAAAAATGTTATACGCCATAACTCAAAAAATACTTATCTGATAAGCCTGAAATTGTTACAGGTGGATTCAGAGCCCCTGATTACCCCTGAGATCAATTCTCGTCAAATTCCGAGAGATGAGGGTGTCAAATTGGAAAAAAGTGGTACGATCTATCGTGGAATGCCCCAGTTATTAATTGACTTTTGGGGAACGGGTCCAACTGGTTCCGATTCCAACATAGACCGGGTCCGACTGGTTCCGAAAATATCCAGTCGGGTCTGGTTCGAGTCTGGTTCCCAAAATTTTCAACTTTTGCCACCTTTAGTCGGATACTCTTGATCTATGTGAGTGAAACCCACTGCACGTGCAAAATACAAAAAGAGGAGGTGGGGCATTCCACGATAGATCGACCAAAAAAACTTAAAATTTACACCCGCATATTTTATTTTTTGCTTAAAGTTGGTCTAATGGGTTGTGATGGGCGGGGAACCCAGCTGTGGCAAGAATTTTTTTCTTCGAACAACGGTTTCCGAGATATAGCCTCGGGCAGTTCCTGGAGGTCACGCTGCAACCCTACACTGGCGGATCCAGGGGGGGCCACGGGGGCCATGGCCCCCCCCAAAGGCCTAAAGTGGCCTGTTTGGCCCCCCCCCCCCAAAACGTCAGAAAAAAAAAAAATTTCTAAGAAAATATACCTTGATGGAGGTTTTTAGCCACTTGGTGAAGTAAAGTTTCCACAGCATAATATGGAAGCAATATGGTAGCAGTGAGGGTCAGTCAAAAGTTGCGCGAGCGGAGTCGACCTTCAAAAAAAGACTGTTGTTAGCACGTGTTTATGGCGCGGCAGCTGGTAGTTGGCGGTGTTTCGCGTGGTGTGGCATCACTGGCGGATCCGGGGGGGGGGGGGGGGTAGCACGGGAGCCTGAGGTGCCCCTGACAGGCCCGTGGTGCCCTTGCTAGGCCTGTGGTGCCCCTGGACCCTGGCAGGCCTGTGGTGCCTCTGGCGGGCCTAGGGTGCCCCTGCTAGGCTGCTGATGCCCCTGGGACCTGACAGGACTGTGGTGCCCCTGACAAGCCTTAAGTGCCCCCAACAGGCCCGTGATGCCCCCGACAGGCCCAAGGTGCCCCTGCGGCCTGCGTGATGCCGTGATGCCTGCGAGGCCGGTGGTGCCCCTGCGAGGCCGGTGGTGCCACTGCGAGGCCGGTGGGGCCCCTGACAAGCCCATGGTGCCCCTGCGAGGCCGGTGGTGCCCCTGCTAGACCGGTGGTACCCCTGGCAGGCCTGTGGTGCCCCTGCTAGGCCGCTGGTGCCCCTGGGCCCTGACAGGACTGTGATGCCCCTGACAGGCCCAAGGTGCCCCTGTAAGGCCGGTGGTGCCCCTGTAAGGCCTGTGGTATCCCTACTAGGTCTCTGGTGCCCCTTTGACAGGC